TTATATATTATATTACTGGTTGCTCTATATTATATTATATTATATTTTATTATTCATTTTGAGACTGTTCTAGCTCCATAGAACTGGGCTTAATATAACATATGTACAGCCAAAAGATGGCACTAGATTGACTAGAGTCAAAAGATTCACATAACAAACTAGGCGATGGTAGAGGAGGTCGTAATATTGTACCTATAAAAAGAGACAGTGTTACAGATGGCAGTGGTCTGAGTGACCATTGAAAGATTACATCCTGAAATGTGGAGGGATAATTCTTTTCACTGTATTACTGATTTGTTCCATTCTGCCATTATTTAAAAGGCCAAATCTTGCTACTACACTAACTACTAACTACTCTACACTGCTCCAGCAGTCTCCAGTGGTACTGGTACGTTTCGTCCATATCTGTAAGCTTTCAGAAAATGCACACAAATACAGACAACATTAGTGCAGAGTACAAACAGAGGGCTCTGTCCATCTCAATCTCCGCATGAGACACTGCCCCTAGTTAGAGGGCTCCGCCTGTGCTAATAGAACTAGGGTTACAATACAGTAACATTTACTTTACTGTACCAGTTTGGCGGACACATCAATGTATCGCTGTAACGGACAGCAGCAGCCAATGCGGTATCTGTGTATTTATGTGAAAAATTACAAAAAGAAAATATTGGCTAGGAAGCACAAATGTATTACTGAACCTCACTCTGAACCTGAGCTTTTAACAGCTTAAGACATTTCATGGTAATGTGTTAGCGGTTAAACATGATTTTCTTTTTTATGGAGCTGTTAAAGTGATTGCAGGAAGTATGACAGAATTACTGATTCAATATTTGGACTGTCCCTGTTTCACCAGACTGCTCTCTATCTGACCTTCCTCTCTGCAGTCAGTGGCGTAATAAGGAGAGTGAGAAAGTGAGGAATGAATTTAGCCGCAAGGAGTTAGTGAAGAGATCTGATGAGGTGGATGATAATGATGATAATGATGATGATGATGATTATGGTGAAGAAAAAATAGATATACTCACAGCAATGCTGTGGCTGAAGCCAGAGCCCGGCTGAGGGCTGTTGGCATTGATGTAGTTGCCTACAGCAGAGTCCTGATTGGCGGTTCCATAGAGGTCAGCTACAGGGCCGGGACTGTTGGCACCAGGAAAGGCTCCAGGCCGGGTGGGGTTGGTTCCTGTTGAGGAAGGGCCAGGAGACAGATTATCCAGAGAAAGTATAACACAACTGACACTCAGAGATGAAAGATAACCATGACCTGGCCTGGAAGAATATTATTAACTAAACTTGGTATCCTGATTGCATGCTAATTGGTTCAAAAGCCTAAATCAAATCTAATTTAAGGAACTGTATATGACATCCAGAACATTAAAAAAGCAGCAAACTTTTTGCCATGTAAAGATACAGTGCAATAAGAGTATCCTGATAAGAGCACAGACTCACACCTCTGTGTGTCTTGTAATCTGATCTTCTCTGTTCTTTGTTTTGGTAGACGGTTGTACATGCATGTTAGTCCCTGTGTTTGTGTCCCACTGCCTAGCTAATCACTGCCGCTCTGCACTGTGCTCATATGGCAGTTACCACTGATAAGTCCTGACCTACGGTGGCAGGATGGTGTTGTCGTGGAAGCGTAACATCCCACCCACACTCTACAGGTCAACAATGTTAACTCCAGTGGCACTGTTGCTGTTGTTAGCACTGTTAGCCAGGCCCGCTGTCAGGGAGGGTCAAAGGGTACATATAACCTTGTAAGAGAGAGGGATAAATAATGCTAAATGAATTTATGCTAAATGTTGGCAAGGGAAAAAGGATCATTGCCTTTTTTCACAATCGTGTATTTAAATATTTCTGCATAATGTGTTTTCCTAAACAGTCTTGGAATTACATGCATTGGGTTTGACTGGAAAACTGAGAGCTGACAGCCATATACTCTTTATACTATTTCATTTCTGCACACAATTTGACCAATAATTGATTAAAGTAGCCCTCAAGATTGAATGAATAAATAAAAAAATAAAAAAAATTGTTCACCTGATTTGAACTTATGATTTAATATCTTGTGGTAATTTCTTCAATCAGTGTTTGATTTTACTTTTCTCTAATTATTCATTGAAGGGCTTTTTTGTTTTGTTTTTTGGCCTAGGCCAAACATGTGACTTCCCTGGTATTCAAAATAAGATCTTAACACAGTATAGATACAAACTCTATGGGGTAATATGATTAACTCGATTATATTTGCAGACAGTTTACAATTTTGTGTTTTGTCATGTGATTTTGCCTTCTAATGAGTGTTGGTGAGGGGCCCACTTTGGAAAATGCTGTCCCCCTGCCCATTTATCTTAACAGCTGGCCTGCTGTTAGCACTGTTAGCACCATTAGCGCTTGCCATTTTTAAAGCAATACATCCTCAGCAGGGACCAGTGGGCTTTGGCCCTGTCACAGGGTAAAAAGTCGGAGATTGAGAGACGGACTAATACATTGTTGTTTTTGTCTTATCATGTTATTAATTGACATAATGTGACACTATCTTTCATTTACTGTGTTACTTTGTTTGTGTAATAGTGGTCAGTTAAGAGAGTAGAGTGACAGAGTAATCAAGTGAATAACGATCTATATGTACCCTCAAGGGTTTTTTTGACCTGTCATTGGTGTTCTCTGTCACTGAGCAGGACCCTCAGATATGACTGCTAGACAGTTTATGAATGCCTGGCAGAAGTTGCACAGGGGGATTGGGCACAATACCCCTCATCTCATCAACACCTGTCACTAGGAGAGCCTCTACACTTCACCAAACCCACATCCCCTTCCCCTCCACAAACTCCCCCCGCTCCTTCTCCAGCCACTTTTAAATATATGATGGTGATTATCTTTTCCAAAGTGCTCGGAGCATTGGACCTAGCCTGGCTGACAGGCAGAAAATTACACAGGGTATCGTGGGTAATGTGTGCTAAAAGACTGCAGGGGTGAGCTGCGTTTCCATGGACCCAATTCACCAGGAGGAGAGTGTTACTGAAGGAGAGGAACTCCACTCATACTGTGTTTTCTTTTAAAGTCATGTGTCAGAGGAGTAAAGCGCATTACAATATATATTGTAAAGTAAAGGAAATACAGCATATAATATGTTAATAATATGATTACATGAGATGCTCTGAAAACAATACTCTGAGTTCATTTGGTAAAGAAGATGTGAGAGTGAAAAAGATAGAAAAACAAATAACTGGTTGCTCTGTGTTGTAGAGTGTAGATCAAAAAATGTATCGGGTACTCTTGGAAAAAAAGGAGGGAACTCCAAAATACTGCAAACAGGAAAAGAAACCAGGCACTCCAAACAAAAATGAGAATGAGGAAGTAACGATTAGATTAAAAAGCCTTTAATATAATGGCAAACTCATTAAAAAGCCAACATGTTTCGACCACTGTTGGTCTTCATCAGGGCTGGAGAAACAGATGCATCAAGGTGTGGTTGATGTAGCAGCAGCCAAATGAAACCACACCTTGATGCATCTGTTTCTCCAGCCCTGATGAAGACCAACAGTGGTCGAAACATGTTGGCTTTTAAATGACTTTGCCATTATATTAAAGGCTTTTTAATCTAATCGTTACTTCCTCATTCTCATTTTTGTTTGGAGTGCCTGGATTCTTTTCCTGTTTGCAAGATGTGAGAGTCCTCTGAGTATGTCTGAAGTGACAGCCACACAGACCATCTGTTTGATAAGAAGTGGGAAGTAGGCCTATCATTGGAGACAAAATATCGCTCGGAACACCAAACATGTTCTCATCTCAGGTCCTCAAATACCACCACTGACTTGTGCCTTCAGTGTGTCATACCAGCACCAAAGAAACCACCACGATGATGCACCCTTTAACATCTGTATTCAGTTCAATTCAATTCTATCTATAAAGCCCAATATCACAATTTGCCTAACTGTGCGTTCACACCAAAAGCTGCCTGAGCTGCAAAATAGCTGAATTCACTCTATCAGCGCCGCTGGTAAAATATTTGTGGCAGAGAAAGCAGCTCAAGTCGCTCATGATGTCAAATTCTGAACGTCCAATTATGCTTCTCAATTTAAAGGAGCCGCAAAGCAGGTTACTGGCTGGAGCACAGAAATGTGACTTTGTGCATTTGCCTGAGTACAGAAACTTTCACATTTGGACAATGAAAACATTTGGACATTAAACATTAAACACACACAGCCTGTGTTGCGTTCAGGTGTTGCCACGTAAATAACAACTTCCAGCACTTGGAACAGGCCGTAGCACAACACAGCAGCATGTCAAGTGGGCCGAACCCGAACCGAATATGAGCTAATTTTTGGATTTGTTATTCCCCCCCAAAGCTGTAAACCTAGGGGAAACACTGTCAGTGGTTTGGGTTTGAGTGCCTGCAGTGCAATTAGTTAAACTGGTGGTAAGGAGAGCAAATTAATTGCATTCCCGCTAATAACAAGCGCTCCAGAACATAAAGAAATTGTATAAGTACGTGCGCTTGTCAAAACTTGTGTATCGATTCAACATGGAAGAAGACACTCTTGTAATTTGTGCTGCCGCGTGGTACCTGCGCCACCGTCGGGTCTGGATTCACAATATCCTCCGGGCCGTGAATAGCACAGGGAATATCATCGGCTGGTGTGGGAGCTGCAGCTGGATGGGGAGAGGTTCCAGCGCTACTTCAGGCTGAACACAGATCACTTTGACAGCTTGCTGCTTGTTTTAAAGTAGGAATGAATGTGTGGTAGGAACTAAAAGTCTCTGAGGATGTTCTCTGGGTTCAACACAAGTGATGGACATCTACATTCCGATTGGTTGCTGGTCATTTGCAGCTCCAATGCATCATAGCTAATTTGCATAAAGCTAACCAGTCTTCAACTTTGGTTTGCTGCTCAATTCGCCAAACGCCGCTGCTCATCGCTTTTGAAGCTCAAAACACCTCTGTTTGTGACTATCCATTGAAAATGAATTAGACCTGATGCCTTTGCAGCTCTGGCAGCTTTTGGTGTGAACGCACAGTCAGAGGACTTTCCCATTCTTTATACTACGTCAGTTGCTCTGCACATAAAGTATCACTGCAGATGAGTTTACATTGGAAATGGGTGAAAGCCCGGTGCACCTCATGGAGATGCCAAAGGGGGCCTTTGGTCTTGGTATTAAAGGCTGAGCGGCATGAGAAAGCATTTGTATTTGATGACCTGGGCGTGAGAATGGGCAGGGATACCTGTGCTCTACTGTGTTATGAGAAACTGTGTCATTTCAAAATAACAACTACCATAAAACCAGATAGGTTTATGGATAGAGAACAATATCGTACTATGGGTCTGTGTGTTTACCTTTTGTCTTGAGGGCACAGTGTATATGTGTACCATAATGCCACACTATGCCATGTCATGGCAAAAGCCTGGTGGCCCAGAATCCCATAGTAACTCTGACTGAGCTCCAGAGGACCTGTGTGGAGATGGGAGAAACTTCCAGAAGGACAACTATCATTGCAAAACTCCACTGATCTGGGCTTTATGGCAGTGGCCAGATGGAATTCTCTCCTCAGTGAAAGATACAGAAAAACACCTAATGGACTCTTAAACTGTGAAAAATAAGATTCTCTCGTCTGATAATACCAAGATTGAACTGTTTCACCTCAATTCTAAGCATTATGTCTGGAGAAAATCAGGCAACGTTCATAACCTGCCCAGTATCATTCCAATTTTAAAGCATGGTGGTGGCAGCATCATGGGGGTGTTTTTCAGAGGCAGAGACTAGAGGTCTGGTTGGGGTTGAGGGGAAGCTGAATGGAACAGAGTACAAAGAGATCCATAATCAAAACTGATCCTGATCTGAAGGTTCACCTTCCAACAGGACCATGACCCTCATCACACAGCCAAGACAACGCAGGAGTAGCTTAGGGGCAACTCTGCAAGTGGCCCACCTAGAGCTCTGACTTGAACCAAACCATCTCTGGAGAGACCTAAAAAATGACTTTCTATTGCTGGTCCCCATCAAACCTGACAGAGTTTGAGAGGATCTGCAGAAAAGAGTGGCAAATAATTCTGATATTCAGTTGTGCAAAGCCTGTCACATACCCAAGAAGACCTGAGGCTGTTAAGGCTGCCAAAAGTGGTTCAACTAAGTTCTGAGTAAAGTGTCCTCCTTTTTAATAAATTCACCAAAAATTCTAAAATTCTG